ATAAGTGTTGCTGGGAAAACTAGACAGCTACTTCTAAAAGAATGAAATTAGAGCATTCTCTAACACCATATACAAAAACAAACTCAAAATGGATTAAAGTCCTAAATGTAAGACTGGATACTATAAAACTAGAGGAAAACATAGGCAGAACACTGTTTGACATAAATCACAACAATATTTTTTTTCAAACGATCTCCTAGAGTAATGGAAATAAAAGCAAAAATAAACAAATGAGACCTAATTAAACTTAAAAGCTTTTGCACAGCTAAAGATACCATTAACAAAATAAAAAGACAACCTACACAATGCGAGAACATATTTGCAAATGATGCAACTGACAAGGGACTAATTTCCAAAATATACAAACAGCTCATGTAGCTTAACATAAAAAACCCCAAACAACCCAATCAAAAAATGGGTAGAAGACCTAAATAGACATTTCTCCAAAGACATCCAGATGGCCAGCAGACACATGAAAGAATGCTCAATATTGCTATTTATTAGAGAAATGCAAATCAAAACTACAATGATGTATCACCTCACACCAGTCAGAATGGCCATCACTAAAAAGTCTTCAAATAATAAATGCTGAAGAGGGTGTGAAGAAAAGAAACCCTCCTACACTGTTGGTTTGAATGTTAATTGGTGCAGCCACTATGGAGGACAGTATGGAGGTTCCTTTAAAAATTAAAAATGCACCTACCATATGATCCAGCAATCACACTCCTGGGCATACATTCAGAGAAACTATAGTTGGAAAAGATACATGCACCCCAATGTTCACAGCAGCTCTATTTACAATAGCCAAGACATGGAAACAACCTAAGTGTCCATCACCAGATGAATGAAAAAAGATGTGGTATCTATCTATCTACATCTCTATATATTTCTGTCTCTCTCCATATATGAAATAATAGAATGTTACTGAGTCATACAAAACAATAAGTAATGCCATTTGCAGCAACATGGATGGGCCCAGAGACTATCATATTAAGTGAAGTAAGCCAGGCAGAGAAAGGTTACTATCATATGATGTCACTTATATGTGCAATTTTTTAAAAAATGATACAAATTTTATTTATAAACCAGAAATAGATTCATGGATATAGCAAAAAAAAAATAACACTGGTTATCAAAAAGGAAAGGGGAGAGGGATAGATTAGGAGTTTAGGATTAACAGACACACATTATTATATATAAAATAGATAAACAATAAGGACCTACTGTATAGCACAATTAGTTGTAATAAGCTGTAATGAAAAGAAACTGAAAAAATATATATGTATGTATATGTATAACTGAATTGCTTTGCTGTACACCTGAAACTGATATTGTAAATTGATTAAACTTCAATAAAAAATAAGAAATAAAATAAGACAGAGAAATAAAATAAGAAATAAAATAAGACAGAGTGGCTGAATGAAAAGAAAAGCCCATATATATATGCTACTTACAAGAAACTCATGTCAGATCTAAAGATACACTCGCTGGAAGGTAAGGGGATAGAAAAGGCATTCCACACAAATGGAAATCAAAAGAAAGCTGGGGAAGTGATACTTGTATCAGACAAAATAGGCTTTGAAACAAAGATGTAACAAGACACAAAGAAGGACATTACACATGGATAAAGGGATCAATCCAACAGGAACATGTAACAACTGCAAACATATATACACTCAACCTAGAAGCACCTAAATATATAAAACAAATAGTAACAAACATAAAGGGAGAAATTTACACTGATATAATAACAGTAAGGGACATTAACACCCCACTTACATCAATGGACAGATCGTCCAGACAGAAAAATAATAATGATATATTGGCCTTAAAAAACACTTTAGACCAAGTGAACTTAGTAGATCTATACAGAACATTCCATCCGAAGCAGCAGAATACATATTCTTTTCAAGTGCATATGGAGCATTCTCCAGGATAGATCACGTGCTAATTCATAGAAGAATTCAAGTCGCAGTAAGTCTAAGAAGATTGAAATCACATGAAGCATCATTTCTAACCCTGAGGCTATTAAACTAAAAACCAACTCTAAGAAAAAAATTGCATAAAACACAAACACATGGAGGCTAAACAATATGCTACTAAATAGCCAATGAATCATTAAATCACAAAGAAGAAATTTTAAAAAACACCTGGAGACAAATGAAAACACAATGATACAAAATATATGGGACACAGCCAAAGCTTTCTGAGAGACGAGTTCAAATGATACAAGTGTACCTCAGGGAACAAGAAAAATCTCAAATAACAATCTGATCTTACACTTAATGGAACTAGAAAATTAAGAACAAACAAGACCTAAAGTTAATAGAGGGAACGAAATCATAAAGATTAGAGCAGAAATATAGAAAAGATCAGTGAAACTCATTGCTGGTTCTTTGAAAAGATAAACAAAATTGATAAACCTTTAGTCAGACACATCAAGAAGAAAAGAGAGGTGTTCCAAATAAATAAAATTGGAAATGAAAGAGAAGTTATGACTGACACCACAGAAATACAAAGAATCATAAGAGACTAATACAA